TTACTTTTATTGTACTCTAAAATGAAAATGTTAGTTACCATCTTTTTCCTTATTTTTATTAAACAACATTAGACAACATTTTGCTGTAAAAATTTTTCCATTCAATTTCCATTCCATTTGTCTTTTATATCTAAAATACAATTAAAGGATTTACAACAGAAACCAAATAAATCCATATTTTTTAAATCTGAATTATGGAGCCTAATCGTTTTCAGAATATTCAGAAAAGGGGAGCCATCTCCAATGACCTTGACCTTGACATATGGGTTGCATATCAGTCGGGGCAAAAATAAGGCAAGGTCGAGGACATTCGAGAAGACGCTATTAGCACTATTTTTGTCGTTCTATCTTCATCACCTAGACAAGGATAGTATTACACAAATGACGCAGATAACGCACTCCTCGAATGCACCCATGTTGTTTCAGTCCAGCCGCCATTTTGGGTTCATTTTGAATTTTCAGAAACACCATACGGCATCAAGAAATAGACATTTCAAGGAAAATTTTAAACCCTTTTAAAGAATTTTGTCTCAAAAATTGAAATGTAACTTAAATCAGGGTCTCTTTCATCAACTTCTGGTTAAATTAATCGATCATCAACTCGCAGAAGTGCCAACAGCAATTTAATCAAAATGCCTTTCTCTTCCTCTTCTGTGCCTTCCTCTTCTTTAGTTCTTGTTGGCGTTTGAGTTAACCATCGATTAGCATTAATCGGAGTTGGTGAATAAGGCCTTCAGTATTATGATTTCTTCAAACATTCCAACCTGTAATATGAGGTCTGTTCTTTATTTCTGCACTACCTGAACTGATGCGCATGGTGCAATAAGTTGAAGTGAAAGAAATGTTCGTACATGTGTTTCACTTCAACTTATTGCCGTATGTACCAACTCAGACAGTGCAGAAATAAAGAATAGACCTATGGCTACGGTTACACCGTACGACTGATAGCGACCTGACCTATATCGTGACCCAAAGTAGGTCTAGTCACCAACCGTTTATACCGAAAAGGACTTAAAAAATGGTTGGGTCATATTTAGTCCACGCTGGTCCGAATTAGAGCCATCTATCGTATTTTGTACAAATTATTTCCATATGGACCCAAGAATCGCTAAACGCATGCGCAATCAGTCATGAAAAAGGCGCTTATAGCGAGTACACGTAAGTATGGCTACCGGTTTAACCTAACTCTCAAATTCAATAAAACAGCTGTTCAAGCAAAATGGCTACGAAGTTTCAGGTCGGGTCAATCGCGAATTTACACCGAGAAAGCAGACGACCTATTTTAGGTGAGGGCGCCAAAAAATACGGCCTGACCTACAACAGGTCGGGTCAGGTATAGTAGTATTTACAGCGAGCGGCCTAAATAATGTGACCTGAATTAGGTCGAATTTAGGGTATAGGTCGCGGAAAAAACGTACGGTGTAAACCAGGCCTATGGTCCTCTTCAGTGATATATATTTATTTAAAATGTCGGGGATACATCAATAATTATGTCATAAATAAATGGTTATGTATGTTGTTATCAGTCATCTTGAGAAATATTGTCCATTGACACATTAATAGGATGTGTCTGTAGATACTACATTCGAGGGGGTAACCACTTAATGTAATCATGGAACAGGGTTCTCGAAATCATTATAAAATTCATATGAAATCTCTAAGCATAATCCGATAATTATATATACAACCATGAGAAATCATTGTATAATATTAAATAAAATCGTATATTTTACCAAATTATTTCATATGTAGTGGAAAAAATTATTTGTGATTAGATGAAATCACGTGAAATCATGTAATCTGAGGGACAATATTTCAGTTAGTGGTTACCCCCTTGACTACATTCCTCAGCAAATCGATATTGCCAAGACAAACAATACAAGTAGACAATACTTGTATCATTTGTCTTGACTATGTATATCAGTTTGCTTGAAGAATATAGTATCTATAATATATAGACACATCCTATTAAATGTGCTCAATGGCTACGGTTACACCGTGCATTTAGGTCGCGTCCTATACAATAGATGTCTTTGTTTATCCTGTATATTAAACAAAGACATCTATTGTATA